CACACCAACAAAGCCTGAAAAACTAGACTTGCAGCTTCATAGAAAATCGAGACAGGGCATCTCTTAAGACCACACAAAGTGCAAAATGACTCTTAAAGCAAATGCTTTTAAAATTAGAGACCAGAACTAAAAGACAACTATGTCCAGTTGATTACAAGGACTTAAGGCTTAAAAGCAACACTGCTCAATTGTCCTGTGTATTGCCACAATAAGGAGACTTGATGGGTGAGCCACCGAGTGCTCTTAGGACTCATTTATGCTGTGCAGTTGACTTGAAATATTGGCTATGGTCAGTCTTTAATAGGGTTAAATTACCACATTCTGAAAGAGACCAACAGTGCATTCAATCAATTTCATAGGCTCTTGAACCATAATGAAACAGAACTGTAACATTTATTTACCTTCCACTTGGAATAGACTTGAAACAAAGTATATTGTCTTGGCGAAACAACAAGTCTAAGTCTTTCAGACCTTATCCGCAAGAAAACTATTAGGATTTCATCCACGTAACATATAGATTTCACAATGATAACAATAAAAGCAATGAACATATCAGGTATTCAGACATAATTATCCTTCAATTATAGTAATAAAGTTGAATAAAGAAATGTTAGGAAGTGAATTACCCAATGGCATCAGGAAAGATAGCTTTCTTATTCAATTAAGTAAAGTTTATTCTCCGGAGATGAATGAACAGCATGACTTTGGCAAGGCAACAGCTTCCTACTGAGGTACACAGGTCTTTTTTATGCCTTTCAGTTTCTTTACCTCAAGAGACCCGACTTAGATGAAAGTGCAATTAACAGATAAAAATAACAACAATTTTGAAAAAAGCCTAAGTCTAGGCCAGGTCAAGTTTATAACAAGTAGTCAAATATATAAAGATCAGATGTCCTTATGTGCTTGAGAAGGAACCCCGTATAATACATTATTCATGCTGAACATCTAATTAATGTATTTATTGCTTATTTTTAAAATGAAAAACCAGTATTGCATATTATGATACAGATATATATAGAAAATAACACAAGTGAATGGAGGCAGCAAGAAAAGCACCTTAATCTTCTTGGGCAGGTAGCTAATCAATGTGATAAAACACTTGTTTCTAAGGATAGTTCCAGTCACCGACCTGTGCTACATGGGAAAATCACAGGGGATCACCAAGAAAAAATTAGTTCTAAGCAAGTAAAGCACACCACTTATGCTGAACAGCTAATTAAAAGTTCAAGGGTGCAAGTCTGAAATTCACATCATGTCAGCTGGTCCCCTCCTTCACAACTTTGCCAGGTGTTCAACCAATAATTCATCTGATGATAAGGAGTGCAGCTCTGTCTGGTTACATGGCCTGCTTACCAACATTGCTTTGGCATGCAGCAACAAACAAAGTCCCACTTAAAACATCACACCATCAACATAGAAATTACTCCAGGCTATACTAGAACCCAAAACCTTGGGTATGCCAAAAAAACAAGGTAATTAAGGTTTCCCAATTGCCAGTTCTGGTATCTGCATTTGGTAGCGGGAGAGTTAGTTCTATCTAGAGTTTGACAGTTAATTGATGACTAAAATAGAATGCATTTCCTTGCATGCTGCATATCTCCTTGATGATTCAAGATTAAAAAACATGACCCTGCTTTGGAACAACTCCGGATGATTTTTTTCTTTTTTGAGCACACGTGTTAATATCTTCATTAGTGATAACCACAAAAGACCTACACTGAGATGAAAAATAACACTGAAAATCAACTTTCTGTCATCACTGATAACACAGACGAGGACATACCATAGGCAGCCCCCATTGACTCCTTCTAAAACACTCACAGATGAGGACATACATTAGACTCCTTTCAATGCATTTTTAGAGTTCTATTATAAAATACTTCATTCATCAACATTTTAATATTATCATTTTCATTATTCTCGAATAAATTCGCTATAAAAAGTATACAAGTTATTTTCCTTCTTTTGTGCTATTTTAATTATAAACTGATGGACTGGAAATGCCACAGCTCATGCTTATTCACAAAAACTCAAATAAAAACAATTTTACTTAGCATTGAACCACAAGCTCAAATTCCCTCCCCAAAAGTAACTATATCTTCAAAGTGCAAGGGGTTCTCCCTTTCTCTGAGTTTTAAGAGCCACTGGTTATCTGATGACATCCAATAATTTATAATAAGATGGGCTTCAGATAGCAAGAGAAAAATAAATTTTAAGGCTACTTCGCCGCCCTAGAGTGAAAAAAATGTCATTCAAATGTGTTCCCTCTGTCTGTCTGGGGTTGACTTTAAGACCCCTGTTGAGATAACGCATTAAATTTGAGATGAATAAACGTTTACACATCAGTGATTTTAAGACCAGCCCCCTGACGCTAACCACACAAATTATATTGGAGAAGGTGATCAGAATACCTGAATGTACAGTTCAATTTATGTTGTTAAAATGAGGTAATTTGACTACTTGTTATAAGGGGCCTGCGTTACTGCCTGTCTGCTCACTGAGCTGACTTTCCTCGAGGCAGAAGTCAACTATAACACTGATAACAAAAGCGTGCATTATGAAAAAAGATGTTAAAAAACAGACACCCATTGATCGCAATAGTTGATATAAAGTCTGGGTAAACGTATGGCATCAGACAGCAAGCCTTTCAGGGATTACACTGCTTTGCTGCAGTCTCCCACACGACTTCCTACCTCACTGATGGGGAACCTATTAAAACTGTCTTGAAAGTCAAATCACTTTAGAAATTCAATTTTCTTTTCACACTGAATGATTTTCATTGTGTACTGGCAATATACATTTCAATAGAAGCACGTTATACAGTAAGCACGGAAACTTTTATCAAGAAGAGTGGTTTTAACTTGCCGACCCGTGCTTTAACAAGTGGCCTGGCATACTTACAGTATCGTTGTCTCCGGGGGGACTTGGGGGATCTTTTCTAGGTGTAAAAACATACACCGCACTGTCGTCCTGAAGCACAGGCATCGGCTAGGACACGGTTGTGCTATACTACTGTGGAAGAGCAGGGCAAGATATAGCAGTAACTTCCAAGCCATCTTGCCCGGCTTCGTGGCCTCTTGCTCCTGCCCCCTAACTTAGCAGTTTACACAGCCGATTGCTGTGTGTGTACTGAACAAAACACTAAACAGACACAGGAAATGCGCACGCGCTGAAAGTTGTGCCCTCGCGGAGCGAGTAGGCCGACTACCGACTCCTTTATCTTCAAGCGGTGTTAGGCAGTGTGTCGCACTCCAACCGGTGATTCAACTTTAATATACACTGAGATTGAATTGAATTATAAGGCCATCCAAACAGAGTAATGATTAATGAAGTGTGTTTGAACTACTTTGGAGAATAAAGAGCGGTGCACTCAAGACGCCGGTTGGAGATGGGGAATGCTGGGGCTATAAAAAATCGCTTTTGACTATTTTTAATGGGAAGTGATTTTATAAAATGAAAAGGCTAACATTATTTTTTGGTTAGGTAATCCTTTCATTCGTTAATGAGAAGCTGATTTTATGTTAGTTTTACCTAACAGTGGTCCATATTAAAACACTTATAGGGCCTAAACCGAATATGTAAAAATAGATCACCGCGAAACGCGTCAGCACTGCGTTAAGGTAGGCCTATATGTTGCTGGAGACAGAGAGTGAGAGTGAGTTGGGAGGATATGCTATAGAACAATACTCAATATATTGTTTTATATTATAAAAAGTAGGTTTTGAACGAAAATTTGCATTAGGAAATTTTTTTCACATCGGTGAAAAGTGGGGGCACTATGGAATCTAATGAAGTAGTAGGCCTACAAATTAGTTTCTTTTCAGTAGAATGATAGTCAGTAGAATGATATTTTTAAAATCAACAACGTGGATTTTTGTTAATACGTCGACGAGAATGTTCATGAAATGAATGAAACGCTAACAGTAGCCTAAGTTGATTATTGAATCGGTCTCAGTGGCGTATTTAGGGGGGAAGTCAGGGTGGTCCTGACACCCCGACCCTTCGATTTCTTATTTAAAAAAAAACGCACCAAAATATTAATCATAGTTCTAAACCGTACCAAATGGCGCCATTTGCCCTCCAAAGCACCCAATTTGTTTCTGGGCCCTCAAGCGTGCCCCGAACCTGACACCAAGGGGGTGAGGGTCGGCCTCGCAATCCGAAGCCTGTCAATCCCTAAAAAACCGGACCCCCCCCCCCCTTTCAAAAATTCTGGATCCGCCCCGCCAATCAATTTGTGTTTGTGGCCTATGTCATGTCTTCATTTCCTTAACGATTTTTTTTTTTTTTTTTTTTTTTTTTTTTTTTGCGAAAATTTTACATAGTCGCAATAAATTTTATAATAATAACCGAGTATGACCCTGTTGAGGTGCACGGTGACAAATAACCTATTATTAATACATGGTTATCAAGACCACTCTTTCCTCGACTTAACCAAGAAGTTATAAGAAAAGGTTCTCTTATAACTTCTTGACTTAACACAGACGATGGACCTAGGTCCTTGAACAGACAGACCTAGCCTACAGGATTCACTGATTTCTGTTTTTCACTTCTTATAAAAAGGTTTTGAGCAGTAGTGATCATTTCTTCATTATTGAGGCCTGTTATTCCTGCCATGGGGATGTAAGCAGGGACTAACAACTGGGAAAATAGAAAAGTTTAACTTTAAGGACAACAAACACCCCACGCTCTCTATTTATAGTGATCATACATAGGCCCTAGGCCTAGTTTGAATCTCGTTTTCTCTTTTAGATTGGAATGCAAGCTCACTTTCACATAATCATTAAAAGGATGTTGTGGTATGTTTCTTGACTATACGCCCAATTATTTTGAAGACAATCAGAATATAGCACAAGGTGATATAACCGGTTTTCTTATAATGCGCCAGCCGCCGCGTGCTAAGTTCATTTGCCGAGCGTCATTGATTGTGACGTGGTGTAGATTTGCTTGCATTTCACAACTAATGCAATTATGGTTGCTCTTCATTTATTGAAGTACAAGAGGTGCAGTAAGTCATGGCAGAAGCAGGCGAACAGTCTTGTGTATTTTGCAAAATTGCCAACGGGAAGGATGAGAACGCTGAGTTGCTCTTTCAGGTAGCGTGCACATAACCCTATGACGTCCTACTTACATAGCATTTAACCCTTTCCTTCCAAACGTGGGTGGGAATAGAATAAAAACTGGAGTATTCTTGTCATTTCCTTTGGCATCTGCCTAGGCCATTGACACCATTCTGTATTACTCTGAAACTGTCTTTCGCGGCTTTCCTTTTTTTCTTCTTCTATTATTATTATTATAGACAAGTGATACATTAAGTAAACATTAAGTGTAGATCCTTGTGATATACATTGTCTTACAGTGAGTAAATAGACTCGAGCTTGCACTTCCGTGTGCATAACTATAGATTTCACTGTCTCACAACACAAAACCCTAGCAACATTCACGTGTTACTCTTTTTGAGCTCACACATGCTGCATACTGCTGAAAAGCAAATTATCAGAGCACATCAATGTACACGTACTTACAGTGCTAACCTTGGCCAATTTTGCTTTTCATAGCGCTTTTCAGCAGTGAACAACACACCCACTAAGTGTACAACATACTACAGTATGTGTAGATGAGAAGAAAGAGGGAGTGATGGGAGGTATACATATGGGTGGTATTGGAGAGGCTAGGTTTTGAGTGCGCCTATCTGATTCACACTAGAGCACCATATAGGGAGTACTTGCAAATATACTAAAGTATAAAATGTGTGCTAGATACTGGTTATTAGGCCTTTATGCGATAACTCATAGTAGTAATTTAAATATTTGCATTTTATCAGAAAAGATTAATATAAAAAGGTTAACATTTTCAGGATGAAGCATATGCAGTTTTTAGAGACCATAAACCTGCAGCATCAACCCATCTACTCGTTGTACCAAAAGCTCATATATCAGATGCCAAAAGTCTAAAAAAACAAGATTTGGAGTTAGGCATGTACCGGTATCAGTTTCCATAATATGTATAGACATAGAAAATCTTCTGTCTGTTGTCTTTCCTATAACTGCCAAACCATATTTTTGTTTTATTTTATCACTTTTAAATTTGCTGAGTGACTTTGTTATAAAACAAAATGTTTTATTTTGTTAAAAAATGGAGCAATAGAAATAGTTTTTTTGTGTTTATCTGTTAACTTTGCTGTCTAGTCTTTTTCTTGCCCACCTCATAATTTCAATGATTATTATTTTCTCAGGTTTATATTTAACCCTATCTCATACGAAATGGTACTGTTCGAAAAATTAACAAAATCATTATTTATAAATTGGTTTTATGTTGTACTCAATTTTTATTCTGTTATGTTACACATCTTCAGTTACCACAATGGTGAAGATTGGTGAGCAGGTGTTACAGGAACATGGTGGAGAGGTAACCAAAGCAAGGTAATATTATCAAAAAATTGTGTGCCCTTTTAAAACATTGTGTTTTTATTTATTTATTTATTTATTTATATAAATTCATTTATTTGTTTGTTTGCTTGTTAGGAAAAAGACTCATCATAATTGTTGTCCAATCTTTTCTTTTTTTTTTCTCATACTGCTACATACTGGTATACTATCTTGTATATATCCCACTGTTGATTGTGTTTTACAGGAATAGCAATAAGTGAATGGACATTGCAACACTTCAATCTTATTCTTGTTATCGTCTTATTCTATTATCTATAAATGTTTCAGATTCGGTTTCCACTGGCCACCGTTTTGCTTGATCTACCACTTGCACCTACATGTTATACATCCAGTGTCAGAAGCAGGCTTCATATCCAGACAGATCTTTAAACCCAATTCTCTATGGTTTGTAACTGTAAGTATATACCTGTACAAGAGCAGGATATGAAATATGGTTTTGATCAGATATCTAATTGCTTGTGCTCATTGTGTCAAAATTGCAAGCATATTTGGGTAACTAAAGTTTCCTTTTTTATGACTTTTTCAGTTAGTTATCTATTTTACAATAGGTATCATGATATTTTGTACTAAATAAAAGACCCTATGGATGAACCAGTGGCCATTTTTTAAAGGATATTGTTGTATAATATATTTGATACGACCTATCTTATTGTTTATTTTCAGCCTGACTGGTTGATGGATAGGTTGAATAAGATGCCAAGCTGACACATTGACCTGTACAGAGTAGAGACAATAAAAAAAAAAGAAAAAGTCAAGAATTACTGTATTCTACAGGTATCAACCTGGACAAAGTCCATGTGATATCATAGACATGTCTTCATGCCAGTGATATGCTCTAACTATGAAGAAATTACAACAGATGTTTTGTAATTGATGTAAACTATGTAAAGCCTAAGACAAGAATACACTGAAATTCTCAGCGGAGAGCATGCTCACAGGATTGTTGCCATACGCAAATTTTGATGGCCATGTCCCATTATTGTTGCCCAGTTAAGAGTATCATGGACATGCGGATATAATAACATTTGAACTGGACAATGTACACCTTTACAACATCATTTGTAAATTTCTAGGTGCTGAGATAATCCATGTATATTCAACAGTCAACAAAGAAACTTGTATCCTTGATAAGTTTGACTTTTAAGCATTTGAGTCAGTAAGCTTGAAACGTGTATTGTGCACATCTACTTAAATTTGCAAAAAATAGTTTAATTTGATCTGTCAGTAGGATTTTACGAAGGTAGGGATCTAATCTTCATATTTTTCAGTACTTATAAATTTGCATTCAAATTAATTGTACACGTAGATTGACATGAGTAACAACTGCTAGGCTGATGGTCTTGAAACTAGACTACAGACCAGTGGCAGAAATGGCTTGTTAATACCTACGTAGTGTACTGTGAAAGCTGTAAATAAGGTAGTAGTCTAAGAGGAAAGAAAGATTATAGAAAGATTCATTAATATGAAAATTAGGAATCAAAGTGGTAATCAAAAGAATAGAATAACCTTTGAATGTATGTTGCACATGAGGTATTATACAATTATCAACTTTAGCAGAGGTCAGGATGTTTTATGAGACCTCATATTCACAAATATAAGATCATAATCTTTGCTAATTATTTAATGACCTTTTTTAAGTATTGTAGTAAGACTATACTCCAATGTAAGTGAACAATGGTGAACGCTATAGAATGTTGAGCCCCTCCAGTAAATAAATCAGTAAAATAATGAAGGGTCTTCCCTTTGCCCAAAATGTTTTTTGTGTGCATAGTGTATCATTTTCTGCAAATGCTTTTAAAACATGAACTCCTCTGCCAATTTCTTGTATTTGCTTGGTTTTATTTGTATTGATTTTTTTTAAATCCCAGAGCACGTTTTTAAAAAAAGTATTTGCACATACAGCTTAATTGATTCTTGCCTTCAAGGGAGGCTGGTCCTAGTAATGGCAGAAATATGTCCGAATGCTCCTGCAGTATTACTGTTACGAGTTCACAAGCAGAAGACGATGAAAAATTGGGAATAATAAATTGAAATATAATAGGAATTGTAGATATCTTACCAATGGTCAACCTTTTAGAAAGTGAAGGATGTACAATACATATTACTACAGGGCTTTTCAGCGCATTTAACCTTGTTAAAAAGTTGTTTCTTTGGGAATAGTTTTGGTCAGACAGCTATCATAGCAGCCAATCACTGTACAGTTGCACCACACCCTCTCCAAATTGGTGAAAAGAACCAGTTATTTCTGCCTGAACAGATTAACCTGTACACATTACTTCACCAGCTGCTTCATTTACAGATAGCGAGAATGCATTGTGCTTCTTTACATTTTCTATCCACTTCAAGGTAGAGTCTAAGGCCTCATTCATAACAAAAAATTGAGGATGTACATGAACAGATTAGTCGGCTCTTCTTTCAGGTAGGGACTGCCATATTCGATCCATAGATCCTCAGATCTGTTCGGAATGGCCTCTAATTGAATAAATATAGTTGCAGCAAAAGATATCTTTTCTTTCTTCAAAACATTGGATTTTATCAGATTTATTTTTAAGCAAAAATGGTGTATGGGGGGGTCAACAACTTTTAATTTTAGGGAACAACTAGTCTTCCAGCAATTTGGCAGAGGATGGTATTGAAATGTCATAATAACAATTGAATCACATGTCCAAGACAAATGTGTTTTATTACAGCCATACATATGTGCACATGAATGCAACAATAACCTAAGATTGTAACTACCTACAAACTACAATACCAGTGACACAAGGAAGCCTTAGCTGTTTTACTGTGTAAATTCAAAATATGAAAATATGAAAAAAGTAAAAACTCAAAAAGCAAAATTGTACAAAATAAATAAAGACTTTATAGCGAATACTTTTATTTTACCTGTGTGAACATGGGAAGCTATTATGTATATTAAGATATATCAGCTGGCAGACCTACATATTTTTCTTAGCCTACAGTAATTGAGTTTAACTTCAAAAATTGATTATAAGATTATTTTCCAAAGAACACTGCTATGTCTTATGTTACATAGACAAAAGCTTTAAGAGATTAATTTATATGAGCAAATGGTAAAAGTAAAAAAAAAACAATGCTGTACAAATATACACTGCAAATTGACAGAGTGATATAATTCACTTTCATGCAAATTTTGGCACACTTAGAGCAGATTTGAGTATTAGTCACAGTCACACTTCTTACTGACAAGATAAGGCTATCAACACAAACCTTGGATATGAAAATACACTGCATATATACCACTCATGCACAGTTGGTTTTAGGTCAAATTATTGGAAATTGTAAAACAAATCACAATATTTTAAGCCACTTTAATACTAAAACTATTCAATATTTCAAGAAGTAGCACACAATATTTTACATCAAGGGCTCTGCACACAGGCTCTGTACGTATGAAATTCCACATAGATTACCCAAGTTTTAGTCCTACTACTGCCAAAATGACAAAAAGAAAGAACACAGTTCGCCATCTTGCCCTTTTTAGTCAAAATGCTAAGTGACAATATAGAAGTCTACAAGGTAAAGTTGAAGAAAACTAGATAATATCAGTCATCAACCAAGTCAAATCCTTTATGCTTCAAAAACATCATGTGGTACCTATAACAACAATTAGAACTTGACACCATTATTTGGTAACAGGTTTGTCATAAATTGAGACAAAAAAAAGAAGAAAAAGGACATCTAGCACACCTTCACTCCACAGCATCAGTTGCATTTCACTTGTGATAGGTTTCTACAGGCATTGTTGAAAGTTGATCATTGCATGCATGATGATCAGCACAATGTCTTTGTGGCATATGTACATGGGAATTTCTTGTGCACAGGTCCTGCTTTACTGAACATTTATTTGCATGTTCTCCTTATCTCCCTCAGTTGGGCTGATTGGTTTCTTCTTGTTGCGTACTTCTTCTGCGTGACGCTCCTAAAATGATCATTGCCTTTATTTAATAAACTATTATGCAAATAATAATAATAATAATTATAATAAAGCAATATTATAAAATAATAATAATGAATGATTTAAAAACCTGGCAAATGTAAAATACAAGAAAAACTTCATTAAAAGAGGACGAATAAATGTAACTGATCAATATGAAATTCTTGGCGCAAAAAATGGAAATATTACTAGTCATGCACAGCAGAACAAGCAAAGAGTGACTCACTTTCTGCAAGGAAGTGCGGACTACAGTTCCTTGTACTTTCCAGCACTGCCAATAGGAAAGAGAAACCCCTCAGTTCCAAATTTGAGACAACCATTCATGCAGGGTAATCACAAAAATAACTTGTATGGTTTTAGATAAGCAAATCACAAAATTTTGAAAAAAGTGGTGGCCTCGCAATATTTTTCAAGCCTGTTCTGCCACTAAGACTATTGTATGCACTTAAATCACTGACACGGAACACCAACACCCAGCAGCTGAACTTACATGCTCCCGAAGTCTTTCAATCATCTGGTTCAGTTGGTCTTCTCTGTTCTTCAGCGTGGTTTCCATCTTTTGGATCATTTTCTCCTGTGTGCACTTGCTAAAGCTGCTGCTGGTTTGACGGACCTCATCAATGTGCTTCTCCTGTAACAACACATTCTAAGGATAAATAAACTTTAACGCATTATTAAAATTATGTATTATATGTTTGTCAGAATGTTTTACTATTATTGGTGGATCTGGTGCACATAATCAGAAAATAGAATTACTGTGCCCATCAAGACCGCTGACTGTTATAAAGTGCTATCCTTCGATTCGAACAGAGTCAAATCACAACTTACGCAACAAATTATTACTTTCGTCAACTTATAGTTGTACTTACTCAAAATACCTTCTTTTTTTATTTATATTAAAATAAATTTGTAAAAGCAGATTTCCAAATATTATAATTTTTTAAAATAAACAATTGTATTTCCATGCCTACATGTACTAGCATGTTACATCAGACACTAGCAGTGTGGCCATTTTAAAAATTTAATTCAAAATTTAATAATTCAATTCAGAAAAAGAATGAAACAAATATGTCCCTTATGTGATAATCCCAAGGAAATGTAGGGTTCAAGTGCTCTTTTGCCTAAAAACATTTTCAATTTTTGTCCATATGTCAATTTCCTGGGAAATTTATGTCCAATTCAAGTGACTGCATAACAAAGCTGTTTATAAAAAAAAAAAAAATAATAATAAATAAATAAATAAATAAATAAATATATATATATATATATATATATATATATATATATATATATATATATATATATATATAAACCATACTCATTTCACAAGTATATACAATTTAGAATTATCTTAAGGACAGGATAAATCTTCAAAGTATGTGTAAGCAGTTAGTCCTTATGTATTTGTTAAGAACTTGTGCTGGACAGCAATTACTCACATGTTCCTTCAGACGTTCCAGCAATTCAGTCAGCTGACTCTGACGCTTTTCCTCTGCTTCTTCAAGCTTCTGTGCAATTCTTTCTTGGAGTTCACGAGCTGCAGTTTCACTGGCGGTACGTACTTCCTGCACTTTCTTCTCCTAAAAAACCAAAAGATTTATACATCATCTGTACAGAGATCAATAAATCACTTCCATAGAATTTTAATGTATTCAATTGATGTACTAGCTGACACCAATTGTTAAGGTCCATATCCATTTGCTTACTACGCCAAAATAGTCTTTTCATTTAATTTATTACAATGATTAAAATCTACCCTACACTCATAAATATGTTACACATGCCTGAGGGAAAAAAAGCCAAATAATCTGGGAATATCTCTAAATTAATGTCTTACATGTTCTTTGAGCTTGGTCTGTAGAGATTTAATCTGCGCTTCTCTGTTTTGCTCCTTGGCCAGCAGATCCTGTTCTAGTTTCTCCTTTGCCGCCTTTGCAAAAGCTTCCTCTTCTTCTTGTGCTTTGGCAACTACCTCCTGGGCCCTGGCACGGTCTTGAGCAAGTTTTTCTAACTTCTGGGCTTCCAGGGACTTAACATAAAAAAAAACAAAATAAATCAGTCTGTACTTTTCTAATATGACCAGTAACATCCAAAGTTCGTGACACAGGGAAAATCAATCAGACTTGGTTATGGAAATAATACCCGATTGTCAACCATGTACAGGAGATGGAAAGGAAGACTATTGAAATTAAGATATCAAATTAACAATCTATTACAGGAAGCATTCCAATAAAAATGAGGGCATTTTTTCCTCTACCTGTCGTCTCTCTTCTGCCTGCTTCAGCTTTTTCACAATGTGATCGTGGGTGATCTCCTTGGGTGGAGAGGCTGGTCTTGTAGGGACATTATCTGCAGTGGCTGGCTTCAAGATAACCTCATAAGCCACTCCACCTGCACTTTCCTTTGGGGTTTCTGGCAACAGAGTTAACTTCCATTAGCAAATACTAGTGGTTATTTTGCAAAGGAAAAAAAGAGTAATGATGCAACAGTCAATTCCCGAGCTTTGGAAATTCTTAACAATCAAAAGCATTTAGTTCATTGGTGGAACTGATATTTGTTTTTGAATGTATATATCTCAACGTCACCAATTCAAAAATGCCCAAATATAGAATCTATCAACACACTTTCTCCACGACCACAGATAAGTCAAGAGTCTGGAATGAAAATAAGAGATGGATACTACCCAGAACACAAAAATTAGAATAGGAAACAAATGAATTCAGACCTCTTAATCTACTAATTATCATTCTTCAGGAATCATGAAAGCATCAAGCAATTTTTTCAGAAAAAAAAAAATCAATAACACATTTACAAATTACTAGACAAAACAGCATTATGAAATACAAAATATGCAGGAACTTGTAAGCAATCCAAATAAAATCAATACAGTAAAAGCAGTGATCACAGTTAAAGCATGCAGCTCAGACCAGAACATTTATGGCTACACTAAACAATACTGGGACGGCAACCAGAGAGCTAGAAAAATCAATACAGATATGTAATGGGAGGAAAAATGAAATACTATTCAAATTTATAAATGGTTCACCCATAATAACATCTGTATACACGAAGAAAAATATGGAAACAGTGGACCTTTCAAGGCTACATAGTGGGTTATACTGATAGTTGAAAAAATAAGTTGCATATCTTCAGTTCATAAACATGGTTACACAAAAAAGAACAAAACATTTTTCTGCAATATAAAATAAAAAAATCTCTATACATTTTAATGAGAAACAGACATCATAAACACCAAGGTTATGACTACACGGGAAGATGCAATATAAGGCATAGTGCAACATCATGTACATGAAAAGCTCATACTGTCCAATATTGCTCTCTGGTACATGCTTCTCTTGGGTTTCCAACACAAGTATATGTCTTTAAAAATGCTGCCACATCATGTACCTTTCCAAACAATTATAGCCTCGTACATACTGACTTCCGCACATCTTGGGTCTCTTTTGGGGTTCTCTCTTAAACAGAGGAAAACACCCAGCCATTTGCATACTATGAGAAGAGAGAGATAAAATAACGTAAAAAGTGTGATGCTGTCTAATTTATTTCCCAGCAAAATTAAAGGTTATATTGTCACAGCACCAAATGTCCAGGGTAGGTTTAGCTATCAAAAACTGAAATGTAAAGTACAAAGTTAGTCTCCTAATACAGAATCAATACTGCAAAGACAGTGCTAATATAAATATATTAATCATTAAGCCATTCTTGTTTTTAATATTATCAGTTAAATATTATCAGTAAAATTTCTTATTTACTTTTTTTTTCAATTTTGTGTCTAGAAAAAAACCCATTACTTATTTCTTTTGATTTGCTTTATACTCACAAAAATTATTTAATACCCACTATCTTTATGACCAATTAATTGCATTCCATTGCTCTTTTAATGTAATTTTGCTGTGACAGCCTAATGAATTATGTTTTGCTGTGGCCAACAATGTATCTTCAAAAAAGGTGATTGTTTATAAAAGATAAGTACTACTAAGGCAATTTCATTCATGGTCATCACTAAACCTTCTATAAAAATTTTAACTACCATAATTCTTAGCTTTTCATCATATTCTTCAAATATAAAGAGTAGAGCTCTGCTCTTTCATTGAATAAGATGATTTAAAAACAGATGTATTATTAAAAAGCTGTACTAGTCAAGGCTTTTCCCAGGATTGGGGGTACAGGTTGTCCAAAATTACCACCTGTAATTTCCTACAATTTCAGGTATGCCTAACGGCATCTTATTTCCAAAAAAAAAATTCATAAGCCATCCAGCCTTTGAAAATATAGGCCGTTTGGTGATGCTGGCTGCCGTCCAAATGACGGCTGGACAGTTGGCTGGGAAAACCCTTGGTACTAGTACTAATGATACATAAAAGTAGCATGATTTCCATTTTTAAATTTAATATATAGAATTTAACAGTAATTATTCCCTTTCCCCTCTATGATAGAGAACTTTACCAAAACATAATTGCATGAATTTTCTCATGCCTCATCACAACTGTAATGTACAAAGATACCAAAGGAGCCATTAATCAAAGTGTAAACATTCCTGTAATGTGGTATAATAGCAAGGAGTTTACTAGTAAACTTTTTTAGTTATAATTTCTCCCTGTCTTTTCCACATTCTATAGCTTACCTTTTATGTAATAATCATAATTTTCCTTATCACAACTTATAAACATTGACTAAGACACCAAAGTCTAGAGACTTGGTGTAAAATGAACTGGATTTTGCCAGATTTGGAGGAGAATGGGTCAAAAATTACTAGCAAATGCAGTGTGGCAAAGAATAAAAGCTGATAAAATTTACCCACATATTTTTCTGCTCATTTTCTCTCAAGTTCTATAGAATTACAGCCTTTTTTGTCTATGTTTCACACGTCAGTTTTAGGTTGCTTTCTAAGCTGATACTCCTGGAGTATAGTTTCAGTCATATTGCTAAAAGGCTGGTCCCACCTTTCCCAGATTCTCGTTTTCCAGTCTCGTATGATGTCACGAAGTCACAGTGCAGACAGTCTCATTTTAGTGTATAGCAACTAGGAATTAAGAAAAGCTAAAATTGCTTCTTACCTTGAGCCATTGTGTAGAATTGTGTTGAATCAAAGGCACCAGGAACTCACTTCAGACAAGATCTGCAAGGGAAAAAAAAGACCTGAGACCATTTATCCTTCCATCAAAATAAGCATCGAAATAAAAGCAACAGCGTCAAATAAACCAAATAACCTAAGTAAGCCAGCTGTTATGCAACGTGCATATTTCTCCAGTTCTGCATAAAAGTTAATCAATAAAGCCCAAAAGCATAGCTGCAGATACCGCACTGACTGGACACAAAAATTGGATATCAGATATTTTTACATAATATATGCTCCCACTCAGTATGACATCATTGTAGACCAATGGTTAATCATTGCAGACAGAAGGCACCATCAGATGAAAATACATATGTGAAACAAAGCCCATGCACATCTAAACCAAAAATTCATGATTCTTCTCATTTCTAAAAATTTTTGTTTCCTATTCTTAGCTTTCAAAAAGAACACATTATGCATCAAAATTTCTAACTGTAAAAAGCTTGACCAACATTAAGAAATCCATTACCTGCATTCCAAAAACCAAGATGCCAACTCTACTTAGAATCCTTCCACTATATCAGTTAGTTCTCCATATGATTGCAATTGTACACAGTAGCTCCTAATCTCAGAAGAAAACTAAAAGCTGTAGTGTTCAGTCCTCTAACATTTGCACACTGCTAAGACGGAGACCGCACACCCTACTAAAGCTAGACTAATCAACATGCAGACATCTACGATCAATATTAATATCATTTAGGCTGCTCATAGCATTTTAAAGTATCTGTCTGCCATTCCTGGTCAATACAAAAAAGCACCTGTGCAGCAGTAACCATGTTATATCATGCTGGCCTTTTTATATATATGGTTATAATTTTTTTTTATGATTGCAAAATCTGGATTTTGTATATCAAAATTTGGTGAAAAGTATATGTGAAATTACAAAATTCATGTGGTTGTCATGGCAATGATCCAGCTTTACCCTGCATCACATTTCTCATTAGATTTCACTCAAAAGGATGACTCATAGCCTGCAAAATATTCATCTGTCTGTGATTCAGTCAAGAATAAATATATGATTCTTGGTCTGGCAAAAAAAGGAAAAAATAGGCCTATGTACAGTAGACAAATGTTTTAGTCCCATTTGCAACCAGCAGTAATAAGGTCTATGTATATAGTAATTCTAACCTGTAAAAAGATGGGAGTATAGCATGGGCTCTCTCATGACTGACTGAATTTAAAAATTATGAAAGTTAAGTGAAAAAAAATTTTTGAAACACATTCCATTCTCATTTTTTTTTTATCAAGACCATACAATAGAAAAAAATGGATGAGGTCACTATATTACACTAAATATTCATCAAAATAGTCTCAACTTTCTGGGTCTTAACTGCATATTTTCATTTCTCAATTAATGGAAATTTTTATTTTATTTTTTAACTGACTTAACGAAACATTCTGTCTGTATATCCAAGTGTTATTACTGAATGTAATCAATTGAAAATCAGTGTTCAAACAGCCATATATTTTACATTATTGATTCCTAGTGACAAACCAGCCTCCACATTTTTTCTATTTCTGTTGTACAAATAAATGCAAACAATACACATGTGAAATTTATATAGACACAAAATGCTACATGGAAACTTGCATTTTACTGAAACATTCTCTTCTGGGCAATTATGTTATATAAAAAATAAAACATCTAAAGTGATAAGCTTGCATGTTTAATGTTTGGATAATTCAATAGGTATCAAGTTTTTTGCCCTTGTTTTTAAATTGTATTCTAACCAAAGTGCGGGACATTATATTCTGCGGGTGCCACATGCCATTTGGAAAAAGGGAGCTTCTACCTTAATTGTCATGTGATTGCCAAAGGTTTAGCCACATAGACAAATAGGTTAAAAATTAATTTAATTATTTTATGCTCTTAACCATTTTACAAGTATGAATAATATTCCTATCAGATAGAAGATAAACTGTAGACAAAAGGTCTTAATCAACCCATGAAGGAATTGAACGGCACGGCCTACAATGCTGCCACCAAAGCATTTAGTTGCGATAAAAAGCTGTTTGCACAAATAAAAAGTAAAACCCGAGCACTTTGATGGCGTTATGTGGAATATTTTCCTTGTAATTACGTTTCGTAATACTGAAAACTGCTAAAGGTAGCTTGGAAATGGGTACTTTTGTAGTATACCCCCCCACCCTGTAACTTCCTGAAACTTTCATTTTTCAAACATTTTTTTACTTTGTCTTTTTCACCTATGTCAAAGCTGTTGAAATAAAATGTTTTTGTAATTACCTGTGGTCTTTTTATTAGTTTTAATCACGTTTAATCCACCCCATTGACATGTGAAATACAATGTGAAAATTTACAATGTATCTGCAGTCAATAACTTGCAGCGTTTTCGTTGGCTAACTCTAACTTATTTTATGTGATTGATACATTGTATACTTGGACTTCCTCTGTGAAATTATTATGAGCTACTTGTTCACATAAAATTACCTTAGAGTTAGCCAACGAAAACGCGGCAATTTATTGACTGCGGGTGTAAATTGAAGATTCTAACATTGTATTTCAATGGGCTGGATTAAACGTGATTAAAACTAATGAAAAGTCCACAGGTAATTACAAAAGCATTTTATTTCAACAGCTTTGACATAGATGAACAAGAAAATGTAAAAAACTGTTTGAAAAGTGAAAGTTACAGAAAGTTACAGGGTGGGGGGGTATACTACAAAAGTACCTGGAAATGTGTATAGATTCGCTGTCGAAGAATAAAAAACTCAGTGTATGAAAGATACCCGAAGAAGTTGACTGATCCCTAATCACAAGTTGCTGACTTACCTGACAGTCTTGGAACATACAAGCCCGCTTTGACTTGAATCCGGTCACGTGGAAAAGCGTTCGAATTCTATTGGATAGGTAGAGCAAAGTGTTGGACGTGATTGGCCGATTTCAGCAACACAATTTACTTCCTCACGATGTAGAAGAGTGGGCTAAAACTACTGCGAGAGATACTGACACTGCCTGAAAAACTTATTTTAAGTGTTGTATTGCACACTATAAAGTTTTAAGGGTCTTTGGATCTTTTAAGTGTTTTACTGAAGTCTCATGCAATTTATCCGTGTGTCGCTAATCGAGAGGAATTGTCGAAAGAAGAATGAAAAATTGAAGCTGCCGAGTGGGCGACTAGCGGGAAATTGAAAATGAAATTATTACTTCACAGAGCACGTAGTACTTCCCCAACACTGTGCTCATAATTTGATGTGTTTTGAACTTTAAGTGAACAACCTACATCGAAGAGTAATCAGGTCATGTCAACGATACCTATCAGAGGGGTTCCAGTTGATTTTCCATTTGATCCATACCCTTGCCAAAAGGATTACATGCAAAAAGTTATAGAATGTCTTCAACAGGTACATGTATTGATGTATATTAAAGTCAAATATATATCTATAATTAAAACAATACTATTGATATATGTATTTATACATTCTCAATAATGTGCCGTATCACATTTAGAAGAAAATACTTGTCTTAAATAAATATTTAATTCTGGAGTTATTTTATGGTTTAAATGAAATTTGTAAAAGATTCAATGTTCAAATTCTTTTGCACATATGACAACGACTAGAACAGAGTGTCATGCCATAGCACTCCTATTAACATTCTCTGATGTGTACCATTTAGCACAAACTTCATGCTTAGTTATAGGCTTTCCATGGTGAGGATTATAACACTGATAAAGTGGACATATCCCTAGAAATCTTATAACTAACCACATTGAAAGTTGAAAAACTTTTCATAAATATGTAAGTTTATAGTCTGTTTTTCACTGACACATTTGAGTGCAAAAGATCTGTAGAAAATGTCTTCTAATGTTTCTGCTTTGCTGAGGACAGAATGAAAATAATAGTAGCACTGAAGAGTATGTAGATGACTTGCTACAGCTGAAAAGGGTGTATAAAAATTTTTGACTTTTGTTTCCTGTCTTGTAGAATTAACAATGCCTTGGTGTTATGTTATCATTGATATTTCAGAATAAAAATGGTGTGCTGGAAAGTCCCACAGGTACTGGCAAGACCCTGTGTCTGCTATGTGCATCTCTTGCCTGGCTGCATGTTAAAAAGGCAGAAAGTCAGCGACAGCAGCTAGCAGCTGAGGCCTCTAGTGGATTTACTCACGACCTGGGGGCACAGCTGACAGAAGCTGCTGGTAACATCTGGGCAGGTGGACTGGGAGTAGGTTGGTATTAATATAAATGTGGTGTGAAACATTGAGACTAAAGTCCACACTCATCATTTTTTAGAGTACTTTTTATGATTTGCTTTTGCAATGGTTCACCCATTATCCTCTTTTTGGAATATTTTGTGAAGTAACTTTTCAATTTTGAATGAAAAACATTTTAATTTTGCTCAATGTAGAATGTCTAAAATAGCTTGCAACATCCCAAATTGAAGAATTGATATATGTTTTCAGACTATTATTCTTTGTGTCATGATTGGCATTTCACAATTCCGCTGCATTTCCCCTTTCATACCTTCTTTTTTCCTTTATGATTTATTGTCAGATCATCATATCAAATTAAATAAGAAGATAATAAGCATTTTGAACCAAACATGGTATGGAGAGAAGTGCTTTGAAGTTCTGTGTAGATGAAAAGATGTTATGTCGTCCGTCTGTCGATTAATCTTGATTGATTTTTACTCTAGTTTGCAGATAATGCTTTAACTTGAAACCAATTTTTATTTGATATCCCAAAGCCCCTGTATTTGATTACGCACTTGAGTTAAGTCATTGCCTTGGTATCCTGTATGTGGATTAAGAAATATAGATATGCTTATCCTATTTTTAAGGTAAGGGTTTAACAATGAGATTGTTACAAATGTTACATCTTCAAAATGTGAGAATTGAAAAGTGTATTGTATGTACTAGTGTATTTGTTTGTATTGAAGGTTAGTAATTCATATATATTATATGAGTCTGTAAAGAATAAAATAAAGGCCTTTTAGTGTAAGGTGCTGCATTATCCTTGGAAATTTACTTAGTAAATGACATAGTCCTAATGCGGTATTTGTGGTTCATTTGGGATTTGTGTTTCCTACATTGATCATTAGAGTTAAATGGGAGATAATAGCATACATGCTTATCTTGGCTGAAGAAGTGCTTGGACTGAATACTGGACATCATTCATTTATATTTTACCTTTTATTTGTTTAGTTTTGCTTTCATTAAACCATTTGTCTTTTAGGATATTTTTGTTTTAGAATTAACAATGTAATTTATATAGAGTAATTTTCATTTTACAAATGTTTAAGGTTATGTTGGAGACTCGTGATATTTTAACACTTTAATCTGAGGTCACTTTAGCTTCTTCATGTTTTGTTTGTCTAAGGAAAGGCCAAATTTTATTATTATGAGGGAATGAATATAATTAAATAATATTATTTTCATAAACCATAGCACTATCTTAGCTTTTGGTGAAAGCATTTGATACACATACTTCAGTTCTAGTTGATTTTTGCTTTTAGGGACTGTACATGGTGTTGCTATTGATTTACAGCTTAAGAGCACATGAGACCAAGTCGTAGGTTGCAACCTTAGGCAATTATCTAATACATAAATTCTAATGGAAGCATGATTTAGAAAATCAATAGGCAGTTGTAGGTCCCATGAACTTGGCCAAAAACATCTGCATTATTTCAACAATTTTTTGTGATCACCTCTCCTAGTACTTTTGAGGGTGGGAGAAAGTTACTTATCGGTGCATCATTTGTTCTAGTTTTTTTTTCAGATGTACTCCAGTGGGTAGGTTGTTTACTGGCTGAACAAATAAACATGTCCAACATATCCTCCTAATATCAGAAGTTATTCAACATATGAATAAAGAGCCATTCTTATAATCCTGAACTAAAGATGCATTTTAACCTACTCAGTCACCATCATGAATGGTACTAGTGTGCAACTAAATGAGATCCTTGGAATAACAAGACAAAAACAACTCTTGTCTGAATATGCTGCTACCCAAAGCTTCAGGCAAAGAATGGTGATGAAAGATGCATTGACCCTTTCATGAGCCCTGCTCCTTAGTGATGCTCTTATTAGGACTATTTTAAGCTATGTATTTGTCTAACTCAAACAACTTCAAATTACTAGATTAGACAGAGATTTCTTTACACCAAGGCAATTTCTTTGAGTATTGACTCTTTAATGGTTGACTTGAAAAAGTCATTATTTAGCTTATTGTTATATAAACAATATCATGACAGGCTGTTTATTTATTTATTTATTATTTTATTTATTTATTTATTTTGTTTTATAAATTCAAAGTGTCTTTTCTCTTATATATAATATCTTTTATTTCAGCACCTTCTCCAAAGATCATCTATGCCTCTAGAACACATTCCCAGCTGTCACAGGCAATACAGGAGCTGAAGAGAACAAAATACAGCTAGTAAGTCCCACAGATGTAGTCTTCATACTGTCTATCATAGAAAATAAATTCCAGATCATGTGAAATTTTAACCATGTGTATTTGTTAAATACAGATATGATCTGTCTATGGAGCTGTTGTGTATGCTTTTATGACAGCTGATTAAGACAGACAGGCTGATAAATCAAGTTTTTTTCTATGCTGAAAATATCAGTCATATCATCCAGTGTTGCTTTTGCTTTGCAGACATATCAATAGAAGCATTAGTCAGCAATTGTAATGTATGAATCACAGTACTTTGACCATGTGAAGTCTTGCAGAAGATCTACAGATTGATATTTTGCATGAACTGCAGTTGCAGACAGTGATGTCTGATGTTAATAATGATCTAAGTGTATTATTCTTCATATCATTTACATGTTGCTGCTTGGTGGTTCTTTAAAACTGTGTTGTCATTGCCGATTTAGATCAATTAATGCACATACCACAGAAGAAGGCAGAGACCCTTTCTTTGAGTTGTTACTGGGTTTTTAGGGTTTATATATAGATCTTAGAAATGTAGACACAGCTGGCATATTGAGTGTGAGGATTCTTATGTAGGACTGGGACCCCTACCACCACCTCAGTATTGAATTTACTTTCTTTCCCATGATATCAGTATTGTACTTAGTAAATATTATGCAAAGTAACCTTTGAAAAAAATCCAAAATGGGTATCATCTTTAACTACCCATATGATAGCATATATGTCCTTCTCACTTGTGTAAAAAATCATTTTTGTCATTGGTTTAATTTTTGAATTTTACTTTCAGCTATCGAGTAGGAATCTTAGGTTCTCGAGACCAGATGTGCATCCATCCCAATGTACAAAAAGAAGAAACCAATACAGCCAAGGTACACATACTGTGTTATCTGAAGCCTGCGTTCAGCTCTTTATGAGTCATGTCTGTTGAAGTGCTTCTTGGTGAAAGTGAACCTAATGCATTGACATGCAAGCCATGCATCCCACGAGACAGTTAACAATGATAGATGTTTTTTGATTGAGCTATTATATGGAAAGGCACAACAAAATAGAATTCTGAGTAAGGTTTCTAGATTACTTGAATGAACGCTGAGTAATAGGAATTGGTTTAAATCTAGAAATCTCCAGTGGTATTTCAAATGCGAGTATTGAGTATTAGGAATTGGCTGAAATGTAGAAATCTCCAGTGATATTTCAGATGTGTTTGCCTGTTATTCATTTCGTTAAAATAATAGTTATAAAATTAGACGTGAGAAGGAAACCTCACATTTGACCTTAAATAAGGATTCAGTATTGATCTCCAAGCTGGAAGATAATGGAACAAAAATTATGTATTTTGAGGAGACTGTCCATTAACTGAGTCATTGCTCTGGTTATGGGCATCTGAAAGGGGTTTGGTGCAGTGAATTATCTCTAAAGCTTACAGAGTCATACATTTTGTATACCTTGCATAAACAATGCCAGTATGAACAAGAAAATGATTTTATACTTAATTGACTAAAAATCTTTCAAGGATTTTATTGTGGTTTGCAATTAAGTATTATGATAAAATGTGAGAATGTGCACGGATTGCATGGATGAAGAGATGAACGCATGACAAAGATGAAACCTGTCATTCACGAGTTCATGACACAAAACATGGCTTCTGGGGCTTGAAATCTGTCATAAATCACTAACCACGCCGTGTCTGATATGCTTCTGTTCTACAGGCAGTAGTCTGATGATCATTAGGCAGAATACCAGGCCACATAGGATCTTTATATACATTAAACCATGGTTGTTCTTAGAATGTGTGATCAGTAGATAGCATATTGAAGTGAACATTGTAGTTAATGACTCCATTATGATTTCCTAAGAATCTAGACAGGTCTTTTATGCCTATACTCCATAACATTTGCATGTCACATTATTCAGTCTGTAAAATGTTTTCAGGTTAATTCATGCCGAGCCAAGGTGAATGCCAGAACATGTCATTTCTTCAACAACCTAGATGGTAAGTTCACTTTGCTGTGAAAAGTTATTGCGAATGCTGTAATATTTCTCCAAAAATGCTCTGATTAGAAAATATTCATTTTGTATTGTTATCTTTTTTTTTCTCCAAACAGCAAAAAAAAACCACCCTGATTTCTTTGGCACTGGGCAGGCAGATCCCAAGGTACTAGACATTGAAGATTTGGTCAAACTGGGAAATAAACACAAGTAAGGAGCTTGAATGTGTTAGCTGTGACCACTGTGTGTGTGTATTTGTACACAGAATATCAAGTTTATGCTTTAGTCTCAATGTGAAGCAATATTATAAAGTCCTTGCTGCAGTGTAGTGTATTCAGGATGAGAAATTTTGTAGCAAATTGTTGTAGTTACACAAAAAAATTTTCAGAAAAAAGGATTATTATGCAAGTGTCTCTTTCTTGTAAAATTAAATGACATGCTTCCAATGTTTATAGCACATATTATGTTTGTGGGATCCATGTCATGCTATTTCATTTTACAGAGTATGTCCATATTATATGGCCAAAGAGGTGAAGACAGATGCAGATATAATATTCATGCCATACAACTATCTTCTTGATCCAAAGGTAAGGATTTACAATTACAGGTTATTTATTTCAAATGTTGTTCTTTAGTTTCACATGTATGTTACAAAATGGGGATGCTAAAGCATGAATTATTAATGTCCTGTAGTTCTTATTTATAAAATAAATGTACCACTGGGAAATTGAATTAAAGGTTTTGTTCTGTTTGTTTTTTATTAATTTTTTGTTTGTTTGTTTCTTTATGTATTTATTTATTTATTTATTCAGTCAAGGAAGGCAAATGGGGTTGAACTGCAAGGAAATGTTGTCATCTTTGATGAAGCCCATAATCTAGTAAGTGCTATTATTTTGATTTTTCTTTTGTAATCAAATGTGTTTTTATATTTATAGTCATCCATTTAATCATATAATTTTATGATATTGATATCAGTTACACATTAAATACAATCATAATTTTTAGGAGAAAATCTGTGAAGACAGTTCATCGTTTGATTTTACATCTTACGACCTCACAACTGCTGTACAAGAACTGCAACAACTGTCTGAAAAAATGATAGACCTGTATAAAGAAGAAGAGAGTGCCACTGTCACATATGGAGATGAATCTGAAATAGGTAACGAATCAAAATTAGATATTTTCTTAGGCTGTGTAAGATAAAATGTTGCTTATTTTTGATAGAGCACAAGTATAAATCTGGTTAATCTATGCAGAGCATATTTAACGACTTGTGAACATTTTTCTTAAAAAAAAGATTCAATTGATACTGGTGTAATGTATGATTTTTTTTCAGCACCAGACTTCAATATTCAACAAGTTTTGCAATTAAAAAGTAAGTGAAAAGTAGTTTATGTAACTAGACAGACAGTCAACATTCATTATTTAACATCAGATAAATAATAAAAAACAAAATGAAGTATAAGATATTTTTTATCAACAAATGTTGGAATGTTAGGAATGTTACATATATTTTGCTATGCAGGTCAACTACTGGATCTTGAAAAAACTCTTGATGAACTTGAACTACCTAAAGATGGCTTGACAAAGGCAGGGGTGTAAGTACAACTGAATTACTAGTTGTGTTATTATTTAGTAGGTTATAAACTTTCCTTCTTTATAACATCAGTTTAAGTTATTGTAAGCTTGTATTAAGAAAAAAGAGTGGTTTTTGTGCTGTAAAAAGTAAGTAGTGTAAAACTTTGTAATGGAAGATACTTTTGTTCATTGTATAACATAATGTATGAAATGTTTTGCAAAGAAATGCTGATAAGTATGATGGTAGGATCGAGAAAAGGAGTGGTGGACTCACAGTTGTAATTCATCTATAAGTCTTATGCATAAAGAAAACTGTTTAATTGTTATTCTCACAATTTCAGGTACATATTTGAGCTGTTTGGAAAAGTTCACATAAACTTTGAAACAAAGAGTCAGGTGCTGGATTTGATTGACAAGATTGTAACACATCTCAGTAGTGAAAGTAAGTGGTTATCATTTATTTGAAAATGTTATATAGTTTGCTTAAATTTACAAGGTGATGTGTAGTATAAGTTGGTCTTCCAATTCATAGCTACTATTTATAGTTGGGATAAAAATTTGTGTATGCATGCACATGTGTTGCATTACAAAAATATTGCTAAAATATGAGAAGTTTCTAGCTCCAAATATTAATGAATAAGCTGCATATGTATATGCTTATGAGTACATCACTTTGTTTTAGCATCTGCATTTTATGGCAAAGGGGTTGGCCTTTCCAAGTTTGCTGACATTCTTAGGGTAAAAAAAATTCTTAATATATTTGCTATCTTAACATATCAGATGTTTTATTTTATATGCAAAGTAATCAAATTTTGGTCCCATTATAAAATCATTTGCTTTTTTAACAAAAAGAATTAAAATTTATCATGAAAGGTCTTTGCTTGTAAAAAAAAGGGAAGTTGCCATGTGGATTTGCTTTTGAAAATATCTATTTCCTGTTCCAGATTGTATTCAGCAGAGACCCTGATGATATGAACCAGTCCATGTACAACCACAAGGCTAAACTAGCAAAATTCTACAAGGTACACTCCTCTTCTTTTCTAGGAACAGATTAAAAGAAAAAATATATTCTTTAATTTTTTCTTCATTTTAAAAATTTACACCACTGAGATTAGAATTTGATTTAATCAGGTTCACATAAGAGAAGATACAAGTAGGCAGAAAAAGAAACCAGCAACAGATGTATGGTTGACCAACAAGAAGCAGGAAAATAAAGGTACAGTCCTTGTATACTTTGAAAGCTATGAAGAAATTTCACAAAAGCTTGTTATTTAGTTAGGGAGCAGATTTCTTATGTCCACTGTGCTGGATTGTAAAAAAAATAAGCATATTTAATAATGATGAGTCTTACCAGGTTTAGAATTCTTGTAGTTAAATGCTTGTAAACAAACTATTGTTTCATTTCTAGGCCGTACAGTCAGTTACTGGTGTTTCAGTCCAGGGCACAGCATGAAGGACTTGGAATCTCATGGCGTGAAGTGTATCATCCTGACCAGTGGTACACTGGCACCACTCAACTCCTTCACTGCTGAGATGCAGATGTAAGTAATCCCTCTCCTCCTCCCCCCGGCCCCTCCAAAAATTTTTATTATTAAAATAATTTTTTATATAATTATTTGCATGTATCATTCCCATATTATTGAATTTTGTTCTGTTAGGGAACTTGCTCGAAATTAAAATATTTATCACCTGTTGTTATGATTGAAGAGAGTTTCCAGTCCAGTTGGAGAACCCCCATGTAATAGAGCACCACCAGGTGATGATTGGCACTGTGTGCAAAGGACCAGATGGCACTGCACTCAATTCTTCTTATGAGACAAGGTACAGACTATTCATTTTATCAGCATTCTACATCAAACACTATGAAGTGTTTAGAATACGTGATTAGCTGGAAGTAAGTCAACATTGCTGTGGCAATTAACAGCCATGCAGTCACTTTTCTTTTGTTCGCCTTGTTTTCAAATGTCATTCTTTTTCATCTCTTTGCAAAGTATGTTACAATGAATGCCAGAATTTGACATTTTAAGCATTTTATTATGAATAGTTGCAGATTTAATTGCTTGCATTGATCTAATATATGTATATATGTATGTGTGATGTTTCAGATACAATGCAGATTACCAGGCCTCTCTTGGGAATGCTGTGGGTATGTATTATGATATGCTAATGGCAAATAAAATTTATCTAATCATCCTTGATTCACTTACGTTCTTGTTATGGATTTTTATATCATGTAATATTATATTCTATTATGTTCCTTGTCGCATTATCTTTCAAGTGGCTGTTTAGTTAATAAAAAGTCAAATGTGTTATTATTTCAGTGAATTTTGCTCGGATTGTACCAAATGGACTTTTGCTGTTTTTCCCGTCATACCCTGTGATGAACAAGTGTCTGGAGTACTGGCAGGTTGGTTGCCTTGTGTAATATTTTTACACTTTAACATCTTTCCACATCCCAACAACTACATCATAAGAATGAAGAAAATAAACATTTGCAATGCATGTAGGCATTTGTGCTGGACAAATTTTATGAGGAAAAGTTGATCAGAGACAAATGCTGTGGACTGGACACATATTTGGATATATTGAACCTGTGCATTTAGCATCATTTATTCTAGTGATTCTTTGTTTTAAAGTTTTTTTGCTGTGATGAAATGATAACAATTTTGTTTATTATTTTTTTAATGTTATATAAATTAAAATTAATATTTTAAGTTAATTTTTAATGTATTTTTTCACTTTTAGGCAAACAGAATTTGGGATAGAATAGTGCAATACAAACAGATATTTGTGGAGCCAAGAGGAAAAATAGAATTTCATCAGGTAGATTAGTGTTCAGTAAGAAAACAAATGTTTTGATTAAGTTAAAAGTGGAACCTGTTTTTCTTCATCCATTTACTGAACATTTTACTTATTTGTTATCTTATTATTGTAATTAGTATTTTTATTAAACTTGCTCTTAATTATTAATTATATTAATAAATTTGAATTATTTCGAGTGCAGAAATTGATATATATGTCTGTGTTATTTCCTAATTTTATGTGTATTCCTTTTTGTACCTGCAGACAATGGAAGAGTTTTATGAGAAGATCAATGATCCCAAGCTCAATGGTGCTGTGTTTGCTGCTGTTTGTAGAGGAAAGGTGGGATTTCATTTACTCAAAACATAATAGTGTGTACACCCAGAAAATTATTTATATTCATTTTATATAAATAACCTGCTTATCACTGAATGGAAGCCTTTCTGCCAAATGTGGTTGTTGAGATAACACATTTGGTTCGTCTCACCCAGGTCAGTGAAGGACTGGATTTTGCTGATATCAATGGCAGGGCAGTGGTGATCACAGGGCTGCCCTATCCACCATATATGGATGCTAAAGTGGTGCTGAAGATGAAGTTCCTGGATGAGATGCAAGGAAAACAACAGATTAAGGTACTANTATCACCTGTTGTTATGATTGAAGAGAGTTTCCAGTCCAGTTGGAGAACCCCCATGTAATAGAGCACCACCAGGTGATGATTGGCACTGTGTGCAAAGGACCAGATGGCACTGCACTCAATTCTTCTTATGAGACAAGGTACAGACTATTCATTTTATCAGCATTCTACATCAAACACTATGAAGTGTTTAGAATACGTGATTAGCTGGAAGTAAGTCAACATTGCTGTGGCAATTAACAGCCATGCAGTCACTTTTCTTTTGTTCGCCTTGTTTTCAAATGTCATTCTTTTTCATCTCTTTGCAAAGTATGTTACAATGAATGCCAGAATTTGACATTTTAAGCATTTTATTATGAATAGTTGCAGATTTAATTGCTTGCATTGATCTAATATATGTATATATGTATGTGTGATGTTTCAGATACAATGCAGATTACCAGGCCTCTCTTGGGAATGCTGTGGGTATGTATTATGATATGCTAATGGCAAATAAAATTTATCTAATCATCCTTGATTCACTTACGTTCTTGTTATGGATTTTTATATCATGTAATNACATTATATTCTATTATGTTCCTTGTCGCATTATCTTTCAAGTGGCTGTTTAGTTAATAAAAAGTAAAATGTGTTATTTTTTCAGTGAATTTTGCTCGGATTGTACCAAATGGGCTTTTGCTGTTTTTCCCGTCATACCCTGTGATGAACAAGTGTCTGGAGTACTGGCAGGTTGGTTGCCTTGTGTAATATTTTTACACTTTGACATCTCTCCACATCCCAACAACTGCATCATAAGAATGAAGAAGATAAACATTTGCCATGCATGTAGGCATTTGTGCTGGCCAAATTTTATGAAGAAAAGTTGATCAGGGACAAATGCTGTGGACTGGACTCTCACATATTTGGATATATTGAACCTGAGCGTTTAGCATAATTTATTCTAGCGATTATTTGTTTTAAAGTTTTTTGCTTTGATGAAATGATAACAATTTTGTTTATTATTTTTTTAATGTTATATAAATTAAAATTAATATTTTAAGTTAATTTTTAATGTATTTTTTCACTTTTAGGCAAACAGAATTTGGGATAGAATAGTGCAATACAAACAGATATTTGTGGAGCCAAGAGGAAAAATAGAATTTCATCAGGTAGATTAGTGTTCAGTAAGAAAACAAATGTTTTGATTAAGTTAAAAGTGGAACCTGTTTTTCTTCATCCATTTACTGAACATTTTACTTATTTGTAATCTTATTATTGTAATTAGTATTTTTATTAAACTTCTTCTTAATTATTAATTATATTAATAAATTCGAATTATTTCGAATGCAAAAATTGATATATATGTCTGTGTTATTTCCTAATTTTATGTGTATTCTTTTTTGTACCTGCAGACAATGGAAGAGTTTTACGAGAAGATCAATGATCCCAAGCTCAATGGTGCTGTCTTTGCTGCTGTTTGTAGAGGAAAGGTGAGATTTCATATGCTCAAAACATAATAGTGTGTACACGCAGAAAATCTGTTTAAAATCATTTTATATAAACAACCTGCTAATCACTGAATGGAAGCCTTTCTGCCAAATGTGGTTGTTGAGATAACACATTTGGTTCATCTCACCCAGGTCAGTGAAGGACTGGATTTTGCTGATATCAATGGCAGGGCAGTGGTGATCACAGGACTGCCCTATCCACCATATATGGATGCTAAAGTGGTGCTGAAGATGAAGTTCCTGGATGAGATGCAAGGAAAACAACAGATTAAGGTACTAATAGTAAAATTCTGGTTTACAGCACTTGGTAGGTTGTCGAGAAAGAAGGAGATATAAATTTCATCAGTATATGGGGATATGTTTCATGATAACTATCTACAAATCCTTGCAGGTAATTTAGGATGTAGAGATTTTTTAACAAAATTTGATTGATAATCTCAAAACAGTAGCAGCCATGTTCTCTTTACTGTGAAAGAATGTAAAAATAAAATGGTGATATTTAAGAGCAGAGATAAATAGAAGGATATAAGAGTTAATTATACTGTACAAATTAAGAATATAAAGGTAAGATGTATCGCGTTTCTTCAAGACAGTATTATGTGCAAGGTTTTATTATTATTTACTTGCAATTTGTTCTCTAAGGGCTTGACTGGAAGAGAATGGTACAAACAGCAGGCATCCCGTGCAGTAAATCAAGCCATTGGCAGAGTGATCAGACACAAACAGGACTATGGTGCTATTCTGCTCTGTGATAACAGGTAATTCTGTTGTATGAATTTATCAAAAGAAAAAAATTATATTGTTTCCTTTTTAGTCTGGCAAATATGTATAACAATTTTTTTTATTTCAAAAATTGATTTTTTTTTCTTTCCAGATTCAAATCTCCTGCAGCTATATCTCAACTCCCATCCTGGGTGCGTTCACACACTAAAGTGTATGAAAACTTTGGTCAGGCCATGAAAGATGCCATGTTCTTCTTCAAGAATGCAGAAAAAATGGTAAACCACTGTGTGGATGGTCAGTGGCACATAAAAGACACTGAAAGCAACATCTGTCTTTACTCCACATAAAATGGAGAGCACATTGCCCTCAATGTCTGTGAATATTTAAAAAGATTAGCTTATAATTTTAGACATCTGTATCTGGTAGGTTTGATATTCTGACAGTCCTGGTAAAAATTAGTCAGTTCTATTTTCCACAACATTTTCCTGGTGAGAGTCAGTCTCTTAATTTTAAATTCTATTTTATTGCTATTTTAGATGCCAGCGCCTAGATTAAAGACAAGGAAAGCAGAATCCAGCCAACTGGGTTGCCAAGGAGCCTCCTTCATGCCTAGCAACAGAAGTATTGGTTCCAAGCAGCAAGTGTCCCAGGCCAGCAGTGTGGTAGCACATGTGCCTGGATTAAAGGAGAAAGGTAAGGATGAAGAGGAATCAGTTTTGGTGCTTCATGCATGTTCAACACCCTGAGCTTCAGAGATAACTTGACACTAACCTCTTCACTATAGCCTATCTTCATCGTGTCAAGTTACCTCTGACCACATTCGATTGCCTCCGCCGCCCGCCAATCAAATTTAAAGCCCGCACTCAGTGACTCATTGAACAATCTAGCCAATGAACGCGAACGAGTCAAAGCGCGCTTTGTTCAAATCCGGACCAATCAAAGATAAGGCTGAATATCAGGGACATCATCCCTCAGTAGATAATGATGCAGGGCCTCAAACTGCTCTGGTTTCAATTCCGATATACTCATATTTTGCAAAGAATCAAGAGATAACTTAACACATTATTTCACGTAGTCACTCGTAGGAGACGCCATGCTTTCTTTGTGTACGGTTATGCACTCGGAACTACTCGGATGTCTCCGCACTTTGTTGTTAGTATGGAGCTTGCGGAATCAGCCGAGGATTGCCGATTGACAGTCAACCAATCAGCGTTTTCACCAAACTTTGGTGAAAATTTTTGAAACTTGGATTCGATTGGCTTATATAAACTAGGTCAAACTATTTTCATCAGAGGTAACTTGACACGATGAAGATAGGCTATAGTGAAGAGGTTAGTGTCAAGTTATCTCTGAAGCTCAGGGTGATGTTCAAAGCCTTCTGCCCAAATGTAGAAAGACTTGCTTGACACCAAAATAATATGCTCCGTCACATGTCCTAAAAAGTTAATGATTGAGTTGTTTTTTGTTTGAAAAATGGAATAAGCAGATAAAATTTGTTATTAATACTTCAGATAAACTATTGGTATATACTTATTATGTGCTTCTCTGTTTTTTTGTTTTCAGAAGATGAATCTTCTCTTGCTAAATTGAAAATCCAATATGAATGCAGTGAGTCCAGCACTTCCTCCAGACGACCATCAGCAGGTGGGGGTTTGTTGGGGGCTCTTAGCATGGAAGAGGTATGTTTTTCTTAAGCAACTAATATTGTTTATATTTGATATTTACTTTAATTCACATATATTTTGTTATTGGCTGCCTGTATAATTTATCATGCATTATGTGGCAAGCATAACTCATTGCTTTTGTTACTTTCAGAGAAAAGTTGAAGATGAAGGTTTTGATTTGTCACAAAACAGTATCTCCGTGGATAAGATGCAGGATAAAGTCACCAGCTCAAAAGTACAAAGAAAGAAAATAATTTTGAAGGTATATTACAGGAAACTGTGCTATATTTTCACGTAGATTAGCTTTATATTGTACTACTTTACACAAGCACTTGCTACATTTCAACCTGTTATGTTTTGACAATGCACTACACATGCACGCACACGCACCTGTGGCATGTATTGTAATGCATCTTACATTTTTCAGGACCGACCAAAATTTGATGGTGGTATGTCCTCAGAATGTGAATTAACTAAAGATGAAAAGAAAAATCTGCCAGCTGCTAAGGTTTATTTAATGCAAGTAAGTTGTGGGAAGGTATGGATCAAATTAAAAGAAGGGCTTATATTTTCATAGTGCCACAGATATCTTTAAGACTACCTGCTGTTTCTATGTTGGAATGTAATTTAAGGTAGAATTGATCATTCAATTAAAAATCAAATTTAATATAAGAATTATAAAGATATGTACTCATTTTTGGCAACAATTGTATGTCAGAAGAAATGTTATTATGATGATTGTTATTATTTTTATTATTGACAATTTTCCCAGAGACTAATTGAAATATAAAATTTATTTCAAAAACAGGGTTTTGTGGCTTTTTCATTGAAGTGATAATGACTGTTTGTTTGCTCATTGTACAATAATCAAATATGCATATGCTCATGGTGGCTGAATGAATTCTGTTGATGTTGCAGGTAAAACAAGCACTTAGTCAAGCTTCATACAAGTTGTTTTCTTCAACCCTGTTCAAGTATCAGAAAGATGGGAATTTTACCTCCATGATTGCAAACATGGCAGAAATATTCACCGATGAACCCAAAAATCATGAGCTGTTGCGGAGTAAGTCAGCACTCAGCAATTTTCTACTGATGTTATGTTTTTGTTGTTGGACAGCTGGAGTACATCAATCAAAACGCTGTATTCAGTTAAGGATAGTGGTCTGAAATACATTATATATAATATACACCAAATGGTGGTGGATTTTGTCTTTTTCTGTAGCTCTAATGCCAGATAAACCTCTTCTCAGCAGAGGATTACTGAACGTTGCATAAGTCCTGGTGTCTTTGAAATCAGGACAGTAATATTGATATCCTCAGATTGATTCTGCTGCAGAAGTTCTCAGCTGTAGCGCAACTGCTGCTCAATATTTCAGATTGTAAATTTACCTTTTGCATGGATTATAAAGTAGACAGTTGCAATTTTGTTTACTTTGTTAGGTATGTTTGATTTGTTAGCCTAGAATGTCATTCACTATGCAGTCATTGTTGTAGGGTTATATCGCTTTGTCCGAAGTGATGACAAATACCAGTTTGACCAGGTGTGTCGGGACCTGACTGGACAGGGGTGCCTCAGCCACCCTGAGACTGGTCCAAGAAAAAGAGTGCAGGAGCAATTTGGTAATGACAATGGATATTTCCACAGTGCATTTGTACTGATTTATTGATGTACACTCTCACAATAAACAGCAGGGTCTATTTGAGTAAAATATTTGAGTAAAATGATATTTGAGTGTCCCTGAAATAAGGTTTTGAATAAAGACCATTTTAGATGTGTTAATAATGTTATTTCCTTTTTGTTAATTTTAGAAAGCAATTCTGATAAACGTAGAAAATTAGAGGATGGTTCTTCGAAGGGTCCTGTTCTGGACACTGTAAGTTTTGTTTATGGGGCATTTTTATGATGAAGTATTTTGGGGAGGATGACATTTAGAATAATAATAATAATAATAATAATAATAATAATAAAAACAGCTTATTTTTAGAATTTATTTTTCCAACTTTCAGTTAGATTGTGGTCATTGTTGGTGGCTGTGATTTGAAATTATATTGATTATGCTTTTTTTAGAAGTCCACAAGTAAAACTGGGGCTGAATCTGAAGGGAATCTACATCACCTGAACTCTACATCAAATTTAAGTGTGAAAGCCTTGACAGCTGTAAAGGACATAAACTCATCAAATGTAACAACAGTAAAGACTCTAGTCGATAAAGAAACAGATTTATTGAATGGCTGTGTAAAAACTAACCTGGCAGATTCTAAATCAGAGGAAAATGTGAATGTTTTAGCAAGCAACCAAGATGAAAGAAGTAAACATTATGAAAATGAAGAACAAGATAAAAATGAACAAAAAGAGCTGTTTCCAGAGATTTCTCAGGAAGAGTTGGATCGAGTGAAAAGCTTCACATCCTATGATCCTCCTCCTAATTCAGGTGTGAAGATAACATTTTCTATGGAAGTTTATAAAAGGTTACTCATACGCATGCAGGAAAAAAGTTAAAATACAGATGGTATGCTCTTTGTAAACTGTTAAGCTAAATGCTTACTCGAATAGTGTTTGAATAAATAATTATTTGATACTATTGACCAAATTAAGAATACCAGTTCAGATGTTATAAAAGCAGTGTTTTTTTTTTTTTTTTTTTTTTTTTTTTTTCATTTCATTTAATAAAACCCTTTTATATTTTTAATCAGGGTACTTATGTGCAGTGTGCAAAAAGGAGAGCAAGATCCCGCTAAAGTCCCCATGTGATCACTATGCTTGCTTCAAATGTTGGAAAATGACATTACAGGTAATGTTCTCTGTGTGTGTGTGTGTGTGTGTGTAATTCAAGTATCTGATATTGCTGTTTTTGATATGAGTTTGAGCTTTTTTCCAAGTCGTCCACTTGCATTTACTGGGTTCTATCTACCAAAATGAATTTTTTTAGTAAAAAGGATGTTTGAATACTGTTTGGTAATGAAATGAGGTTTGTCAAAAATACCTTGTGGAATAATCATTGAATTCAGAATGCCACATTGTATCTTTCAGTCAGCCAAGCAATGTCCTGTCTGTGGTCAAGAGGTGAGACGAAGACAACTGACGAAGTTGTATTTTCCATCGGGACCGCTTAGAGGAGAGGAGAACTGACATATGGAATGGTTACAATATGAAATTTGAATCGATGAACATATTTATTGGAGAATTCAAATTAAGGAAATTACACATTCTCACTGCTTATTTTACAAAAGAAAAAAACATCGACAGTTCATTACCTCGTGACTGTAGAATAAGTATGAATTCACTTTCAAACTCTTTTTTCTTGACTCAAGGTTATTAATTTATTGGATTTTTTTACAAAAATGATAACTTTATGAGACAGGAGTTTCAAAAAAGAACATCAGGTTTTTCTTCTTTTTGGGAATGTAATAGAACGCTTAGAATTATGAAGAAAATTACATGATGTTCAAAATGAGTATTTAATCATAAAATGTGTGCTGAGTAGCTTCCACATCATGAGATCCTATTTTTCATACAATATAACTTATTTAGAAAAATGTAAAATACATTTAATCAGACGAGAATTCTTCTGTGACATAATTTATTAGTGATTATCTCTTTTCATGGAGCCTTGTAAAGTAGTGTAAGAAGCATGAAGTCTCAGATACTAGTCTCTTTTTTATTTATTTATTTAATTATTTATTTATTTATTATTATTATTTTTTTTTTTTTACGAATGTTACCCAATTATATTTATTAAAGAAAATGAGAAATAAGATATTTTATGTAAAATGTTGGCATAATAGGTTATGGATGAAGTATGATAAAGAATTTTGTCTTTCTTTTTGTTCATTTCTCATTTTCTTCATTTCTTTCTCCCCACGGGTACTTCCTCGCTGGCGTGCTCTCTGCCCCCTAAATCAGTTGAAACGTTCCTTAAAAGTGATTTTTGTGCCAAATTGAAGACAAAAGGCAACTTTCACTTCATAATCGGCTGAAACATACTTAAAGGGGAATTTCGCGCCAAATTAAATCTTCCTCAAGGAAAAGGATGTTACTTCCATTTCTAATTAAATACTTCTGTCCTAAATGAAGACCTAGACATTTAGACCCCATAGCTTACTGTGCACTTAACAAGGAATATTGACCTCAAGTACTTCTGAGGATTTTTTAAATGTCTGAATGGGGGGGGGGGGGGGATAAGAAGCTTTCCAAGATCTGTGCACGTAGAAAGTATGATACGTATAGAACACCTTGTACCTTATATCTTGTATCTAATAAAAATTGTTAGATCATTTAACCTATTTTCTAGATTTCGCTTCTCACCAACCCACATTGCCAACGGGACCGTTTTTTCAAATGCTGCACTTATGCAGCACGTTACAAGTATTCCCACCACCTGGTCACCTTAAACGAACATTTGCTTCCACTCTCACGGGGTCATCTTTTAAAGGGAGTATTAAGATGCACCATGTAGCTGATATCTTATATACATATATCCTATCTTGTTCGTTCCCAGTGTATTATAAAGAGGCCTACGGTAATGTTGCTGTATTTAATCCTGGTGGCGATATCTGTGGAGCAGCTTAACGGTAAGGAGATGGAATAAAGTCGATTGCCCCATTTTTAGGTACCGGGTATATTTACTCCAACGTGAAATTGGAAAGTAGTTTTCAATGCAAATCGATACAAAAATGGGAATTGAACGATCCCTTTGATTTGACTAAGATTGATCAAGTCCGTAGCCAGCCATTTCAAAGAAGGGGGAGGTTCTTTTTCTAAAAAAAAAGTGGACATTTTACCATGAAACATTCGTGTCGCCTTGATCAATTTTTACTGAGAGCATACCTTTTCTCGGCAAAAGGGCGGTCTTCCGAACCCCCTGGCTACGGGCCTGTTGATGCAAAAAAAAATGTTCATTCGAACAGCTATAGAGATCCTTAATGTTTTAGAAAAATATGAACCATCATCCGACAGTATCCAGAACACTATACAGAGAGGAACAAAATTTACAGCACATCAATTATGTGCGAGAAATATTTGTCAAGTGTTGATAAATATTTAAAAACTGGTCAATGTAGTACCTTACCACAAGGTACCCCAGGCGCAGGAATTTACCCACGTGCTAAGAATTTACAAAAGCCTGTTTGAAGAACAACGTAAATGGACATATGGAACGACTTTCTTATACCCGCAATGCATTTAAAAGTCCGTATTTAAGTCCAAACTTAACTAAAGAGCAATGCCTACCCTAGCGGCTTATGTATACCACCTTTCAGGCTGGTTGCTCAGCCGCCAAGTGTGCTATGGGGAACTTGGGTGTTTCAGTACCGATTCGCCGTTTAGAAGCCTTCAGAGACCGCTCACTCTCCTCCCAGAAACCCCAGAAGCTATTGGAACAGAGTTTCTCCTGTACACCAGGCAAGTAGATTGTACCCAGGAGGCATGCAAGAATATGCGTGTACTCTGAAGTTAATATGGCGAAAAGAAGAAAGTATTGCCTAAATATTTCAACATATTAATAACAAGGACACTTCAAAAGGCTGTGCACTTCACAAAGACTGTATGTCCATTGGTGACACTCTTTTTCTTGCTTTTCTTTTTATATAAATGATTGCATCAGCAAGCGTCACAAAGTAGTATTTTAGGTTTAATACACCAGGATTTCAATTTGTTAAAGAGAACATAATGTACTTGCGTGACCTATTTAGGTTACTTAATAAATTTTAAAACACTACATTTTTCGTCAGAGAGATATGCTGATAATTCAGTTGGATTGTTGTCAATTTCTTTAAAAGACCATGATGCAATTGGTAGACCCATTTCAGTTAGTTATATGTGTTAACACAATACATTTTTCAGCAATCAGAAAGATGTACTGATATGTCCTCAGTTCGTTAGATTGTTTAAAAATCCAAGCATGATTTTGCTAGGGACAACCAAACTCCTGACCTAGAGGAACGTTTGATCGCCGGCGACGCCAAGAGGCTCAACAGCTCTCACTATGTGGGGTCGAGACCAACGAAATTTATCGTCCACGGTTTCACACATAACATCCGCGAACAATGGGTTCAGAACATGATCACGGAATTGCTGAAAGCTGTGAGTATGTCAGAATCAGCTTTGCGTAAACACATCATGTACTTGTTTCGTTTACCCTTAACTGACAAATTGGTGCCATATATTCCGGATATTTGGTCGTCTCACAGTGGTCTTGGTCTGATTTTTGTAACTTCTATCAGCATCTGGCGTCATGGTGCTATATTTACCCTCATGGCATATACATATATGTCCTACATCAATTTGTCTTATTTCGTTTTTGACAAAAGGCGATGATAGCCAGAGGAACAATTGGCGTCTCATTTATTCTTTTTTTTTTTCAAACAACTTTTATCTTTTCAATTTTAGGGCGATTTCAACGTAATTGCCGTAGATTGGAGCGGTGGAGCAAAATTGCCCTACACCCAAGCTACAGCTAACACGAGAGTTGTTGGTGCCCAAATCGCACAAATGATAAAATACCTAATGACTGAGACTGGAGCAGCTAGCACAGACATGCACATCATTGGCCACAGCTTGGGAGCTCACATTGGCGGCTACGCTGGGGAAAGGATCTCCAACATGGGACGCATAACGGGTCGGTGGTAATCAGTGTGTGCTTAAGGATGCAGTTGTATCTTATTTATCATCTCTTGCGAACGTATGATTGTTTTTTATTGTGATCTCTTTAGGGACAACATGAGAGTTAAGGATATGAGCTCTTCAACTCCTTTCGATAAAGACGGGATTGCGAATAGATATGGGCATTTTAACGTTCGGATCTCTTTTTTTTCTTAGCCATCACCGCCAAAGTTATAATTTGTTCACCAATTTGAACTTATGTTGTGTTTAAAATTGATATTTTATAAGACTAAACATGGGGAAAGGTAGAGAAATAAGCTTAACTTCATTTAATAATTTCAACATATTCCTCAAGCACTGGATCCGGCGGAACCTTACTTCGAGAACACTGACATCGTGGTGAGACTGGATCCAACCGATGCTGATTTCGTTGATGTCATTCATTCCGACGGCTCCAGCATCCTCTCCCTGGGTCTTGGGTTAGACCAAGCGGTTGGCCACGTGGATTTTTACCCAAACAGTGGAGCAGATCAACCCGGGTGTGACAATAGCTTTTGGAGCAAACTAGGTGGAACAATTTGGAACGCTGCCCTTTTGGATAAGTATGGTAATGGCCTGTACAGTGTCTAATCAAAATGTATCCTAATTAATCCTAAGAAGAATTTAAGGTTAAAGTTTTCTGTATGCATGAACACATAATTCGAGTTATTTGAGGTGTGTGCGTGTGCGTGCGTGCGTGTGCGTGTACACTGTGTGTTAATTAAAGATAATACTAGTACCACAAAGCGCAGCTTAATATATTGCAGCATATTTTTACTGAATCTGTGTGAAATTGCAAGCAGAATTAGATAGTCCTTACAGAAATAATATCGTTATCTCCCAGGCAATTGAAACGGGCGCATGTAGGTGAAATATTGTATCTGAAGTAGGCCTACATTTGGTTTTGTCATAAGTATAGGCTACCTGAAAACAGATGAAGCTAAATTATCATATTGCAAAAGACATTTTTGTGTGATTCCAGGTGTTGAGGCCGCCATAGGCTGTAGCCATACTCGTGCCATCGAGTTTTTCACGGAATCCATCAATTCAAGGTGTCCATTTACTGCTTACCCATGCAAAGATTACGAGACATTCCAGACTGGCTCATGCCTGAAGTCATGCCAAGATGGCGACTGCGTGAGAATGGGATATCACGCCGATAAGGGGACTGGTCGCGGGTCTATGTATCTTATGACACAAGATGCCGCTCCTTTTTGCAGTGAGTGTCATAAGTATTGATTAGTCGTGACTTTGATAAAGACGCCGCTAGTTAGTTGCCCACACTAACCGCTGCCAATATTGTCTCATACTGTGAGGGTACCTCGTGCCTATTTCTGGTGTATTTCAACTCGAGGTGACAAGGTGACATGATGACGTCAGTGGGTTTAATATCCAACGGAGTCTTAAATGCAACGGCAATGAAACACCGAGAGTTGATAATTCCGATACCTTTGTCATGAGGTTAAAAGTTGACAAACAGATTACTTTGAACTAAGATATTTCGCATTAAGTAACCTGACAGATTGCTACTAGAAAATGTTGCAAACTACTAAAAATATTTATCAATATTTTGTCTTTTAGTAAAAAGTAGTCTGGAGTCTTCTAAGTTAAAAAAAGTTAAGGATTTTAAATAGTCATACGTACGTTGGAGATATTATGTTTTGATATTCCTAAAAACAACATTTCGTACATGTAGTGTAATAGTTGCGCTTAATATTTCGCTTAGTCTTACAAAACATCTTGTTTGATTGGGAATATCCAAGAATATTCACAAATATCTTGTTACTGAAAGTAAAATGTAGTCCTATCATCATCATCATGTTTAATTCCTTGGCGACTAGTTAAGAAAACATCAGTTGTTCCATGAACAGAGAACCAGATCTGATTTTACGATATGTACTATTTTTAGTTTTACTTAATGATTTATCATTTTCATACTGTAGTCTTCATTAACGCGGAGATGTCTTCTTCCAGATTATCACTACCTTCTGAATATCACCAGCTCGAACCTCCAGAAGACCGCTAGGGGCAAAGTCAGCGTTAGCTTCACTGGTGACAGGGGCCAGGTCGACACGTTCCAACTCACACCGTAAGTTCTTGATTTGTTCTCTTCGGAATTTTTAATTTCTTTATTTTGTTTAAAGGAGATTTTTACTGAAATAAGACGAGTTAAATGTCTTTGCCCCTAACAAAATATTTTTTTTAAGATAAATAAATGAAATCCCATCCTATTTATTTATTCATTCATTCCTTATATCAAACATTATATACGTAGTAAGCAGTTGCACTTTCTAGATATCATAACAAAGATGAATGTGAGTGATTCAGGACAACTGCCCTATCCCTAGGCTTGTATTGATTATTTTCATTATGTTATACATCGTTCTGTCAAAAAGAGCTCATGTCATTATACAACGGAAATATTTTCGCAACCTTGAAGACTGTTGTTTCAGGGAGGAGTCAACATCTATTGCGCCTGGCGATCACCTGACCAAACTGATTCGCACTACTAGTCCACTTGGCACCGTCAAGTCATTAACTGTTGAATTTGAGAAATACCAGAGTCTCTTTGCCTGGGTCTATACAGACAATTGGAAAGTGGGAAGGGCCATCGTCACCAGTGGGGAGGGAAACTACACGTAAGTTTATATTCCAACTAAAAACCATGGACACAATTGAGTCTTAGACGTACAAGACTGTCCCGTTAAGCTCATCTCTTTTTTCAAATTGTTTGTTATGAATTTATTACCCATTTAACTTGGTTTCATAAGGCCATTCACAGCTGCGTGCTACGAAGGAAGTACGTAGCCCCGGTAAAGAATCTTGAAGGCTGTCAACCAAATGTTAAGTATTTTATTAATCTGCTTGCGCTTCCGGTGCACTGGCGATATTGGTTTGGGGGTGATATCGGATAAAATTTCATGAAAGAAATACATAACTAAAATTCCTTGTTTGAAACCATGCGATGTCATTTAATGACGAATCGATGAAAGAAATTAAATATGCTACATTTACCTCAATCCAAAACACTTTCTATTAATCAGAGATCCCGTCTTGTACCCTTGGACTACTTTTAATCAAAACGTCACAAAATAGCTTCCCAGGGATGCAGGAATTATAGATTTTAGGGAACTTAGAAAAGGGAAAATGTCATTTATAAGCCGAAATTCGATTATATCAGGTTTAAATTGGCTATAGATCACTGCAAATATTATGTACTGGGCAAAACCGTAACTGATTGCTACGCCTTGTCAATATGTGCTGCCTAATTTCTCCGTGACATTTTAATTATTTAAATACAGTTTCTGGATAGATTGATACTCTAGGAATCGATTTATATCCACCAGGATCGACCAGCACTTTTTAATACACTTTGGGTTGAGACTCTGTAGATTTAAACACTTACTGCATTGATATTAATCTTGGAATTCGATCGTGTTGTCAGTGGAACAAGTTATACATACTGACGTTTATATGGAAGTGAACTCGCAATTTCTTTTCCCCACATTTTATCATCATCTAATGGCTCTTCGCTGTAAGGTCTGCACCTATTGAACGTGGCATAGAATGGAAGAGTTAATGATGAGCACGTGATCTTAATCGGAGTCTTTTATCCTTTTTCTTTTCAGCTCGTACTTCTGTACCAGTGACGCTACGATCTACGACACTGACTCCAAGGTCTTCGCCGCCTCGCCCAGTGCTTGTTAAAAGTCTCCAGGCTTCCCCACCATAAAGCAGACCATGTTAAAGGGGAAACTTTGAATTTTGCATGAAGAATAACCGTTCCAATAAGAGAATTTTGAGAAATGTAATTATTTCGTTAATTACGTTTCAGAATTTCATTCTAACCAGAATTCATATTTTATATTTCTCAACCTTTTAAAAACAAGACTTTAAATAAAGAACAGAATACAGAAGCAATTTAGAAATTAAAAGAGAAAAAAACGTTTTTTATTTTACAAACTTCTATTCAAAACGAGTCGCCATTTTATGTTTTGGTGATAGAGATAGAAATACGAATGTCAGTACCAGTTAAGACTGTCAAATTAAGCCGGGGTATATCGTCCCACCATTCTCCTTATACGCCTCTTTCATTTCTATACCACTACTACTTCTATCCATTCATTATAAAGTAAGCTTATTGACGAAACGAACGAACGTCTTTCATCGAGGGTTATCGGTGTAAAAACCAATACTATATCATATTATATTATCAACTCCTCCCGGTATTATGTAACTGTTCGAGCGCAACTGCTGGTAAAGTGTGACTCTAACAAACACAATATGTATGTAAAAACATATATACATACAAACAAACAAACAACGTAACCCCAATGGAAAGTTATACACTAGATTTTTTTTTATTTCACATAATGAATAACATCGTCGCAGTAATAAATTAAAACATCACCACCAGATGCGAATACGTTGTTCTTTTACATCTGATGTGAATAATGTTAAATAAGAAATAAATATTCTAAAATAATCAACACTGAAACATGTAAAGAAATGTAAAAGTGACGTCTATACTTGGCTAATCACACACCTCAAACCAACATGTTTAAGGAAATGACACCATTCCTCCATATATTCCCTTCGATACTGGTTGGATATCAGAACTGAAAGCGCTACTTATATCATGTTAAATCTCGCTGTGTGTGGAAAAATATGGAGGAATCGACGCCCGCTGAGAGATATATTGCTCTGTATATGCTAACACGGCCCTGCAAATGCAGTCTGTAGAAGTTGAACTATTCAACCTGCCATGCGACTGGGATGACCTTACGGTATGCGTTGCAATAAGAGGAGGGTTTATAATTGGCATGCTAGTATCTAAAGTGATTTGATAGTAGTTTTTTTAATAATCTCAAAATGAAATAAATTCTGTTTTGATACTCGCGTCGTTTCTCCTTATTTAGTGCAATGGATAATATTTAAACCTCATATGAATAAAAATAAAACCATTCTTAAAATCTTTAAATAAAAACAGAAACAGAACATCTAAATTATAGACGTAATACTAGGTTTTAGTGGGTTGTTTGATCTTGTATCAAAATAAACTATGAAGAGATTCTTCAATGACTATCAAATCCTTTGGCAAATAGCGGTGAAGAATACACAATGGCCTTTTCTCTCGTTTTTTGTCTTACTTAGGTACCATGCTCAAATTAATCTGCGATATCGACTAAGTAAGACAACAAAGATTTTATCCTTTAACTACAGGTAAAGCCATTCCCTACGGCTGTTCGGTTAAGCAAACCTCCAATGTTCAATTGTACTGTTGTCGTTTAATGTCTCCCTCTTGCACGCACGCCGGTCGATATCCATCCCACTCGTTTATGAATCGAGTAAAGGTTTTGTTCAGAATATACCACTTGCTCTATATTTCCTTATGGTATTGATGGGATTAACCTTGCGTGTAACCAAACTGTACTTTCATAACCCTAACGGAATAAAATTGCACACGTATTGTTTTTGGTAACAGTATATTGCAAGTTCCTGCGGTGAAGTGCGGACTCAACAAAGAAGAAAGAAAATGGCGGAGTTTCGCATGAAGTAAACTGTATAACATTTAAAAGTTTATGAAATAGAAAATGCTAATGAGGTAAATATTCTGTCTGAACAACAACGTGGTGATTATGTGCTCCATTTTTGTACGATGTGATGACGAAAGTTATCGAAAACTGAGTGGCATAAGAAAGGACAGGTGGCTTTTGTGCTAATCAGCAGCGGCGCCATCGAACCAGTTTTTTCCACGATAATACAAAATACCAGAATACTTTCTCTTGTGATTTTTTCCCTTGAAACTTGTTAATTACAGAGTGCTATTGTTCACTACAAAAAATATTAACATATTAACGCTACATCTCAACAGCAATGTGTGCGCTTTTGTCGAAGTTTTAAACGTTTGGTGGTATATACTGTATGGTATGCGAGATGCTAGATAGGCCTACTAAACAATAATATATAGGGGCTTTGTTCCGACTTCCGTGTATTCTTGGATGAGAACCACCCACCCCCCTTGGCGAACTTTCAACCAGACAGGAGAAGTGGGACTTGAGAAAAGGAATGCATTTAGTATCATTATACATATAAACTACTAAACAGAGTTCCGCTTTCCTTCATGCCTAGCAGAATGTTGAGTATTGATGCGAGAATCACGTTCACAACTTCAAGTAGAAACGTAAGTCTGTGTCCAGAAAAAAAAGAAACAAGAAAAAATTGAGTTTTCTTCCATATATTGGACATCCTAATTTCGTTTGTCTGCGTTTCCAGCCCTAGGTCGTGCTTTATGAATCCTCTTTTGTTCATGGAACAGGCGTCATTCAGACAAGTGGTTCCTTGGGCTTTGAGGTCACAATGTCCACCGCCTTGAATACTTGTAGACCCGCCATAGACGAAGCGCACAGGGTGGTGGCAATGACCAGAGAAAAAGACCTGCATTTGGGCGCAAACAACCCAAACACACTAGAAAATATACCTTACGATATAATTGCACTACGACTGTGTCTGTTGTAAGAGCCGCTTGTATATTTGTGAACTTAGAAATCGAGGATAAGAGTCCCGGTGCATCAGTGTGTATATCTGAAGCTGTGCTTCGTCAAATGTGTTAGGAGTAGGGTCCACCATGTTTCTATTGACTATTTCTCGAACCCTTGCATCCAAGCTGACCTGAAATGTTTATATGAAAGTGTCACAGAAAATGGTAAAAAAAGTCAGAGAATGAAATGGCATCACATCTACATGTATAGATGACGCGTAATATAACGATATCTGGCATGTGTTATTGTTTTCTATTTATTAAAACCCACGCAGCATACTGCCAATATGAAGGCATTGAGATACAAATTAACACGTTCAAAGGGAAGTCCGTTATTAAGTTCACTATGTTCAATTCATGCGACATGTGGAAATTAAACTTTTATACTTAAAATGCACGGGAGTCGTTTTTACCTAAAAAATACATATTGTAAATTCTTTGTCGTGCTTGTCTATTATTTTGAGTGAAACTGATAGAACACTTTGGTTGGCAGCATCAGAAAAATGGAACTTCCTGAAACCTTATAAGTCATGTGAGAGTGATTGAGTGGCGAGTGCTTGGATGATTACCAAAGTCTAGAAAATGCGTACAGCCGTAATGGTGATAGGATACCACTTCATCGAGCGCAAGCGAAAAAAAACAAACAGGTTGTTATAGTTTTCAATATTTGGAGTGCTCTAGATACGGGGGCATTGCCCGCCGAAGGCGACTGAATTGTTGGTCTTCTTTGCACCGATTAACAAACATATAACCTGGCATGCGTGTCTTCCAATTTTTAGATACTAAAAAATCCCCCACTCGCCATAGTTTACTATGAACCTGTGCAGATAACATGAAATCCCGAAGTTGATTACACCCGATTACTATGAAGAGTGGTATCCCTTCCACGTTTGACTTTTTATATACTCGAGGTCCCAGTCTACGTGTGGGTTACAAGGTCTGGGCTCCGTAACTCGAAAGCATCGCGACTTGCGAATAGCGATATCACCTTTTATTTCGAGGCTATTATATGGGGTGCGTAAATCCCGAGTTATGGAATAGAGACGCTTTCGAGTTACGGAACCCTGGTCGGTCTGTTAGACGCAGTTTTGTTTTTA